GAAGGCGCTCAGCTGGAGCCTACTCGGCTCCTCCGGGGAGGGAGACCTCACAAGCCACATCCCGCACGAATGAGGTGAAGAAAAAAACCCCTGGCACCCTGGGCAGGAGAAGTTCCCTGCTGTAAGATTGCGGCGGAAGATGGAAAGCTGAAGGAAACGAGCGGCCGGTCCCCCGTGGCACCAGGGCGCCATGGAGGAGCACAGCGTTTCTGGCACAACAACCGCCCGGTGCCATCTGACCGGTGCCCACGCCACCAGCTAGGGACTCCAGAGCCTGGTCATGCCTGATCCCTCATGCCCACAGGACCCCACGGCAGTGGGACGGAGAGGCTGACACGGCCCCCGAGGATGTGAGATGACACAAGGGCACGCCAGCTCTCCGGGCCCCCGCACAAGCTCGCTGCACCCATGTTATCACACCCAGAGGAGGAAGCAGGGTCCCGCAGGAGGAAGAGGAGGAGAGGGAACTCCAGAGAGAAGAGCCCGGGACCCTACCCGCCCCACGGCACCGCACACGGAGGCTGAGGCGGCAGGGGCAGGGGTTGCACGGCCTCCGCTCCCTCCTCGCCTACGGCGGTTGTTTATTTTCAGCCCAGCAGGATCAGAGCTGCTGAGTCACTCCCCGACCCCGTACCAAAGCCAGGCCGTTTCGATCACATGCCTCCTCACCCTCGCCGCCACCCAGCTGGCAGCACGCAAGGAAGAAGCCCTGCAAGCGCTGCCCCTGCCTGCTGCAAGAGACCACGGCCCTCGGGGCCAAGCCCTGCTCTGCTGCTGTCCTTAACAGGGGGCCAGACCCCCCCCCCACCTGCTCCCAGACCCCCCCCTGAACCTGCTCCCCACAGCTCAGACGGGTGGGAAGGGCTCGGAGGGGACGCAGGGACGATGGCCACCAGCAGAAGGGTCCGATGCTGCACAGCGGAGCTTGTGCTGCTGAGAAACCACCCGTGGCAGGGAAGGTCTGGCTGCTCCATGGGCAGACCTGCGCTTTCCCATCAGTGCCCCCCTCGGAGAGGGCAGGAAGGTGCCCAGCTCACTCCCATCACCCCCAACACCTTTCTGGAGCAGGGAGCGAACTCTGGACCCCATCTTCACCCCATCACCTTCACCCCATCACCTTCACCCCATCACCTTCACCCCATCACCTTCACCCCATCACCTTCACCCCATCACCTTCACCCCATCACCTTCACCCCATCACCTTCACCCCATCACCTTCACCCCATCACCTTCACCCCATCACCTTCACCCCATCACCTTCACCCCATCACCTTCACCCCATCACCTTCACCCCATCACCTTCACCCCATCACCAGGCTGGAGTCAAAAAACCCCTGCTTACACAGAATCACAAGGGCTGGCAGGGCCCCCCGGAGCTCACCCAGTGCCACCCCCCTGCCCAAGCAGGCTCACCCAGAGCAGGGGGCACAGGACAGCGGCCAGGCGGGGGTTGAAGATCTCCAGAGAAGGAGACTCCACAGCCCCCCTGGGCAGCCTGGGCCAGGGCTCAGTTCCTCATCTTTCTTGAACTGGGGAGCCCAGAACTGGACCCAGTGCTCCAGGTGGGGTCTCAGCAGGGCAGAGCAGAGGGGGAGGAGAACCTCCCTCGCCCTGCTGGCCACGCTCCTCTTGATGCACCCCAGGGTGCCATTGGCCTTCTTGGCCACCAGGGCACCCTGCTGGTTCCTGGCCACCTTGTTGTCCCCCAGGACCCCCAGGTCCCTCTGGGCAGAGCTGCTTCCCAGCAGGTCAGCCCCAGCCTGGACTGCTTAGGTTAAGTCCTCCTAAGGTTTCGGTGATGAGTTTGTCCTGACAAAATTGAACGTGTCCAGCCAAAACCATCACCTAAAAGTGCCCCCCCCAGCTCATGGCCAGGGCAACGGGCAATGTTTCACGTGGATTTATTTTTTTGTGGTTGTTTTTTTTTCAAAAAGCCTGCAGCTAGGATCCCGGGGGCAAGGGCTACTCCAGCCAGCAAGGTTTTAGGGTGCAGCTGGGAAGCTCATTCCCTTCCCAACAGCAGGGCCGCCGAGGGCAGCACCGCTCCCAAATCAGAAAGCAATCTCTTGCAGACTCCTCCGGAGCAGTAAAACCAGGATCATGCCCCCAAATCCACCTTTCCATCCCCGCCTTCAGCCCAGATCAAGCTGCATGTAACCGTCCAGCAGCCTGGCACCTCCTCGTCCCTGTCCCTCTGCACCGGGCCACCCTGGAACAGCAAAACCACGCCAAAAAGAGCCGCCTGCATTGCACGGTTGTGCTGGCTCCCCATTACCTCATCTGCCTTTCAGTAACCAAAAACTTTGGCAAAAAAATTGTACAGAAACCACAGGGAGCCAGGAATCCATCCTGCCAGCCAGGCAACGTCTTTGGGGTTCTGCAGGCAGCCGAACCCCGGTGGCAGCAGGCAGCTGCCGGAGACGGGACATCCCCTCCCGGCCGCCCGCTGCCCGCACCGCAGCCTCCTCGTGCATTCGGGAGGGTCCGGGGAGGCCACCCACCAAACCCAACCCCCCCGGTGTGCCACACCGGGTCAGTGGCCGGCAGGAGCGGTTGCGAGGGGCTGACCATGGGCAGGCAGGGGTTTGGGGATCAGGCAGGACCTCCTCCAGACCCGCATGGGGCTGCCTAAAGGTGCTCGTCCCCCCGCACCCCTCAGCGCTGGCAGCGCTTTGGAGCCTTCGCGTGCTTTAGGAGAAAGGAAGTTGCAAGTTCCCTGCAAGAGCAACGAACCAACCGAGCCTCGGCGGCAGCAGCTCAGAGTCATTTTGGGAGGAAGACGTGTGGAGCTGGGGCGCTGCATTTCTCAGGACGGAGCAGGGAGAGCGGGAAGCAGAAAGCCGAAGGAGCGATTGCTGGAAGCGAGGAAGGAGAAGGAGCTGCTGCTGGAGGAAGGCTGCTCTGGAAAGAGCTGCCCAGACCTCAGAACCAGGCGTTACCAGCCCTGCAGGCCGTGCTGGTCCTCCCCACCAGCCCCGGGATCCCTCCTCCGCAGGGCCAGGCACCGCCGATGAGCCACCCCGGACGGGAACAGCAGCAGACCTCCCATCTATAAACACGCAGCCCGCTATCTGCCATCGCCCGCAGCCAGCCTAAACCGCCCGCACCAACAACCCCCGTGGCCAGACCCGGCCAGGGGTTTGCTGTACGCGACCGAAGGAGCACGCGTCGCCTTCAGAGATTGCCTGACCTTGGCTCTGGCTTTCTGAGAGCGCCCCTGTACAGGAACAGCTCGAGAGCTGCACGTTCTCGCTTTGAGCTCGACGTAACCAAACAGGAGTTCCGAAGGTTGAAGCAGCCCTTCATGTCCCACAGCGTAAAGCTGCTACTGGACCGCAGCAGATCCCAGCAACGAGCCCAGGCACAAACCTCGCTGCTTCCAGGAGAAGCAGATGCTGCTGAACGTAGCCCTGCATCCACCCCTGCCGTTCACAGGGCTGCTGGGGAGGCTCCCGCTCATAGAATCACAGAATCACAGAATGTTTTGGGTTGGAAGGGACCCCTAGAGGTCATCTAGTCCAACCCCCCCTGGATTTAGTTAGCCACTAACTAAATCAGGTTGCTCACAGCCCCGTCCAACCTGGTCCTGAAAGTTTCCAGGGATGGGGCCTCCACTACCCCTCTGGGCAACCTGTTCCCGTGTTTTACCACCCTCATTGTAAAGAATTTCTTCCTTACATCCTATTCATTCCCGGACGCACGGAGCCGCATCAGCATTCCCAGGCCTTGGGTGTAAGCACCAGCAAGAGATAAGAGCGGCTGCACCGGCGGCGTGCTCCAGCAGCCCCCGGGGCGTCTGCCGGAGCCCTTGAACCTGCACTCCCCCACAGAAAGAGAACCCCGAATCCCGAG